ACACACCACCCCTCACACACACACACACACACTCACACACACACACACACACACACACCCTCACTCACGATCACACACACATACACACACCCTCCCCCCCCCACCCCCACAACACGCACACGCTGACAAACGCCAACACACACATCAACACACACCCTTACAAACAAATGGACGGACGGACAAAGGACGAATGGACGAAACCATAGACATTCTGCCATAAGTTATCAATGTTGTGAATTCGCTTGAATATTTTTGCATTCCAGAATAATAGACCAGTAGGTAACGCCAATGTATTAATATATGGAGTCATTTTCTAGTTCACTGACAGTCCACATATATTTCTTTTGATGGGACATATACATACTTTAATGTAATCTAAATGAGAATATTTACGATGGAATAATGTTTGGGTTTATCGTGAACAGGTTTTCAGCATAGAATTATCCGGCTCAGACATCAAATGGAAGCTCTTATAATTTTTTGTCAGATATATAATGAGTATGAGTTAACCTTTCTGATGTCGGGCCGCGAAATAGATATTGTTAACAAAAACATACTCTTTGAAGAAAAATATGGTTAGTTTGTTCTATATCACTATTCACACCAGTAATGTCGACCATAATGCGTTGTTATACGACATTTTATCAATCTGAAGTTATACGAGAAACGATCGCCATAGAACCTCCCCAACGAAAGCTGGGAATATTTTATCGCTTAATGGCGTTTATTCCTTAACATTTAATTTATATCATGCTTAACACTATACACTGTTGTAAGAGAAATATAATTCTGTTTTTAAACGTGAAAATAAAAATGTTAAATGTGGGAGTTTGCGGATTTAAGTGTATAATACTACTTTTGAACCCACCTCACGTTAATTTTAACGCAGGTGTAAAAGATATAAGAAAAACAGATAAAACGGAGTATATTTAGCAGATGAAATAAAATACAGCTTTGTTGCCGTCCTATTTATCAACTGATTTTGAAAGTAAAATGATTGTCACGGGTAATTGAATCTGACATGGATCGTTGATCACCTTGGAGTGTATGTGGCTGATTGTGAAGTTTATGTATCTAATTACACCGGTTATCATACTTGGACACAGGGAAAGGCAAAGTTTCTGTTGTCATCAGGCATTATCATATTATCTTTACGCTTCGGTGTAAATTACTCATTCGTAACGATTTCTATTTAATAACACCTTGTGTCCCGGTGTTAGAGGAATTTTTCGCCGCTGTGTTTTGAAGGCAGAGTGATCTCAATCCCAAAGGTAATTGTGATTCTGGGTATTTAGATAATTCTGTTTACGTAACTCATAAGAAATTTCAACGTGGTTACTTAATATTCAATTAAACTTGAATAAGAACAAAATTTTATATATTTTTCGACAACTTTAATGAAAATTTAAATAATAGTGTGCAACAAAGACATTATGCATTTTTTCCCACGGAGGAATAACGTCTAGACGTTGTGCACCGGTTCGCGAACGAAGCGGTATCGGCCATTTTGTTTACAGGCACCGAAGCGGAGAGCAATAAATATCAGGCTTGAGTCGCTTCATATCTTTTGAAATGTAAAGTTACAGTTATTAGATGCTGAATAAAATTTTTATTTTGATTTTTTTAAATCTCATACTTGTGGTATATTGCCAGTCTAGTAGAAGTTGGGGAGTTTTCTCCCCTTACCTAATATTTGTATTCATAAGCACTGGCAAAGGTCAAATTCATTGGTAAATGAAACAGATCACATTAAGTAGTTTTATTGTCTGATTTGAATAGAAATTGAAATATATAGTGATGACATGATACTACTGTAAGTGGTGACGTCAAAATGTGTAAACTGACTTTTCACTAGGGAGAGACGTATAGGATCTTTCCTTAACTAGAGGGTAGGACAGAGAAATCTCTACTGAAGGAGAAGATTCTTGATTGTCTACACCGAGGGTTTTCCGAGGGTTAGACCGTCAGGAATCTCCTTTGAGGGTAAACATTTCTCTGTCCTAACCTAAAGGTAGGGAATGATAATTCTTTTCTACCCATTTCCGCTTAAAATCGTATAGTCATTTGCATTTGGGGCCCGGATGAAAATTGTTAATGACGTAAATGACCCCAACTGAACCCGATATATCATAAGAATGACGTAATTAACAATTACACGAACCCCAAATACCACTTCCTGTGCGTGCAGGCTGTCTTGCCGTTGTAAGATAAAGATATCTTACCCTCACTAGAAATATGGATATTTCTGTCTGGCGGGGTAGAAAAAAATCCTTCGTAGGCAGAAGCACGTGGAAAGTGTGGGTGAAAATCGTTTCTCGGCATTGTGAGCGTTATCTTCCTTCGTGGTTGTATATAATATTAGCGTGAATGGTGTTTTGATTATCAGCATATGGAATACAACGCTTCATATATAAGTGTGAAATTGTTAAAAAAAAAACACTTTCTTGCATTAATTTTAAACAAATTGAAATAATTTTGCTCTGTCGTTGACGGAATTTTAGATCATAAACAGCTATTCCAGTGAAAATGATCGGATTTTCTCTCCTCTGGTTAGAAGAGGGATTAAAAATTGTAAAAAAAAAAGACACATAAGTCAAAAGCACCTTTGGACATAAACTTAGAGTTAGATAAAGTACAGACAAAAAATAAATCATACTGCATTATAGGTCTACAAGTGTTTCGTCCTGTGAGTAGTCAATGATGCCTACAGACCTAAATCTGGCAGTTTGAGAGGCACAATCTATATCTAGAATTTATTGTAATCCATGAAATATAAAATAAAAACCCTATATGTGCAGGTGCACTAACCTCATAAATTTCATTATTCTGAAAATTTGAATAGAATGTCCAGCTCATGTGTATATTCCTATTCAATCTGATCAAATAAGCGTGTAATTTTGACCGTATATAAAATGGACTTCAGTATGATTTACAACAGCAGTTTGTATATATTTGGTAAATTTCTTCAACGTTTGGAGTTAAGATATGATATCATTATTAAGACGGTAGTGTTATGAATCAGTATATTTTTTAGGAGTAAAAAGCTGGATTGTCATTGCTGTCTTGTCAGAATTACAGAGGGAGAACTCTGATCTAATATATACAAATTCAACTCGTTTCAATATAATATGCATATTTGAAATACAAAGATAATGTATTTCATATATTGTTGATAGTGATGTGAACATTAATTCAACCGACTGCTTAGCTGATCAATGGTTTGAATATTGCGTGCCAAATTATGAATTACATGTTGGCAAGTTATATGCATGAAGGACGTAATTAACGCAACATATGTGCGTATAAGACCAGTTGTATCGAAAAAAGGGGTTAAGATCAGTGAATTTCAGTTACTATTTTGTATTTCAGTGGATCGATAGATATTTACATATACGACTGGGAACAAATCTGGACTATATGGTGGCCAATTAGAACTGAGAAGTTGTTTTTAGCCAGAAATCACGACAAACCCTAGCAACATGGCGCCTCTCGTTGTCCTGTTGCAACGTCATGTTACGTTGATGTATAAGAGGAAGGACGTGTGGTATCAGGAGCTGATAGGTTACTGCTGTAAGAGTGGAAAAAGCACGAGAGAGGTCACTAGGCTTGAGATATTCCTGCCCATACTATAACACCCCTTCCTTGAAATATGTCTCTTTCCGTTATGCAAGCGTCAGAATATCGTTCACCACGATGTCGATAGAAAAGTTGTTGTCCATGTAAAGCATGAAGCGAGACTCGTCAGTGAACAACACGCGTCCCTAAATTGCCAAACGAAACTGATTATGTGCATGTGCAAACAGCAACTGCATTCAACAATGGCGACCCTATGCGTAAGTGGCGGACCAACACAGGGACGTCGTGACCTTAAATGAAACTCTTGCAACCGATTCCAACTGTTCCTGTATACATTAACCTACCATGAGTGCCGACATCTTGGCGTGCCGTCTCCGCCGCCGTCTGAAATCGGTTACGCAGGTGCAAGAGATGTATGCGCCCATCTTGACGCCACACTGGCGTCCGCTCCTGGGACGGTCACCCAATCTCCCTGTGGCTCTGAGTCTGAGATGCCCATCTAAACGAGATATTGGTGTCTGATGTACACCAAATTGCCTGGCTTCATGACGTTATGAATGCCCCTGCATTATCAGAGCAATGACTCTACCCCTACCAACTTCACTCAATAGTGTCTCTTCATTTTTCAATCTCTTCGAAAAGAAAGTGATGCTGGTGCAGCAGTACCCACGATGTATTTTTTCTTGAAAAATCTGCTGAAAGCATGCAGCGTCAAGCGGGTTCGCGATCGACGGAATTTTAACTGAAGAGCATTATCACAGTGCACGGATGTAGCTCAGTGTCAAATCTAATCAATTATGTCCACGTGTCCAAAAGATGTATGATAAAAACCGAACTTATGTTTTTTTTTTCCGCTAGTACATAATATTCATATAAAAATAATTTGCTTTCTACATTTCCATGTTCAGACTAAATAGTAGAGGAGGTAAGAATATCTATAAAATCAGTCTTCATGTCATTGTATTCAGAACCTCATATTAATCTGTATTGTGTGGTTTAAATTAATAAACCTAGAATTGATATCATATCCTGGCTTAAGCTTTTTATGAAATGTGCTAGGCTGGAAACGACCCCAAAACTTTATTCAGTGTTAAAGAGGTATACCAATAAATGTTACAGAAGACTAAAATGATAATGATTTACTGATAAAGATTGCAAGGTTTATTAAATATATACTTTGTTGTTGAAAATGTATGCGACCTTTATAGGTTGACAGCAATTATTTTGAAAATGGATCGCTATATCTTGTAAAAGAAAACCTTTATCAACCTTTATCACCTTTACGCCGAAGTTTACAAGCGGATTTCACATTCTTACATTCTTATATTACTGTTAGTAGCAAAAGTCCTTGAGTATTAAAACGCATTTCAATAAACACATGTGTTTTGTATGAAATTTTCCAAGGTAAGGTAATTATATTTTGTTTATACGATGGTGATGTCCGGCTCCGTTTTCGCAATAAGAGTCTTTTTATTCAAGTAATAAAACCAGTAGAAAATCTGGAAAATTATGTAAGCGACCGCATATAAAATCCGCGCAGCCTTTTCTACATGTCCTGTCGATAGTTTCATCACGACACGACTCCACCAAAGCGATGGAGTGCCATCGTCGGATTTCGTTGCCAAATCATAGCTTGTTTGTCTGCCAGGGTCAATTGTATCCTTAAATAAAACAAAAACAATATAAACATTTGCCAATTAAAGGTGTCAGAAAATAATTTCGTATTTATGGTCAGATCTGGATCAACTTTAACACAGATAACACAGACAGAAATGTCAAAATCTACGCTTTTACTAGTAATAGAGAGAACAAAATCATTTTTAACTTTTTTTTCTTTATATATAAATCATAGTTTTGATCGATAGAATAGGGTTGGTATATATATTTTAATTGAAAAGCAAGTACACGACACTGACACTTCTTATCTCGATCTTTCCCTACAACGGTACCACATGGACCACTTCCCACAATGCAGTATAAGCTTGATGATTTCGATTTTCCTGTTGTGAATTTTCCATTTAAGGATAGCAATATCCCTGCAATACTACCCTATGATGCTTACATGTCGAAGTCCATTTTAAATTCAGGGGCATGCTCCGATTATCATGTGCAATAAGTCATCAACTGACGGACAAGCTCGAAACACAGGTTCTTGCAGCCGTAACAGGGATCTCATTGATAATGTTTTCCATTTACTTTGTGCTATAAGAAGCTGGGCCTGTTTGATAATCGTTAGTTTGTCTCTTGGATCCTTTGTTGTATATATTGTTCTCCTTCGAGAACCTGACATTACTTACTTGGTTTGAACACGTTTGACACGGCTGTTGTCGCCGATGAAACAGAGGATGTTTATTCTTCCTGATCACCTGGTCTTATTCTCCTTGTACATTTTATAGTATTTTCCATGTAAATCGTTTTCTTTTGTTATCTTTTATCCTTGTTAAATTAATATTGTGCTTGCATATTGGTATTTTCTTGTTGTTTTTTTCCAGAAATAAAGATTTTCTAGTATTTGTTATTCATTCATAATTCCGCTTACTTACCGGATGTTGCTGCTCTTTCATTGAAAAACCAACGATTCCATCAACACTGTTTCCATTTTCCTTGCAGTGGTGAACACTTGATTTCGATTCTTTGTCAGTATAGCATTTCTTTTGGAAACTGTCAACTGCGTGAACAAAGGTATATTCCACTATAGCAACAAGCACAAATACAAGGTTCGCGCTAAACCAAACTTCAATGGCGTCAAGTTGGATGCTGGATGGAAGCAGAAATTTGATGCCCACCTCCTCCGTTATCATGGCAAGCAAACACAATGTACCAAGCTTAATTCTGGCCGATACTTCTCCCCGATCTATCCAGAAACTTAGCCAGCCAACGAACACAACAAAGATGCTTGGCATGTAGAGGCGTACCATGCTCCGCATGTAGTCTTGGATAAGCACAACTGATATTTCTAGACAGGAACTCTCCATAACTGAAGGTAGAAAATATAACATTTTCATAACACATTAATGGTAATCTATTTCTCATAAAGCTTGCTTTCAGACATGTTTTCAGTATTCTTCCTAGCGAAGATTGGTGCACAAAAACTGTTGGTTTTTTCTTTACTTAAAATAAGGCTTTAGGTCACAATGGAGAGATTGTTTTATTGGTTCTTTGGAATCAAAATACAGACCAGTAATAAAATAGAGCCCGCACTTAAGGTCAAAGTAGAAAAGTGAAAAGACAGGTGGAAAACCCTGAAATATTTTTTTCTCTCTGAAATTTGAGTTCGTGAATAAATAAAACTCATGATATCTGTTATTGCCAAGATACAAACTATACCCGCTCTCATTGTTTACCATTTCGTGGACATAATGATTTGTGAATAAATTGTTTTCACAAAATCAGGAGAATTTAAGGTTTTACTATTATCTGCATGGTGTCAGTTCCTGATTATATCTAGTCGACAGGATTTTAAAATGTTCACCAGTTCTTAAACATAAATATGTGTTAAAAGCTTAAACATACTATATCCTTGTGTTCATTTAAAAGGTAGGAATACTTATATTCAAAATTATGGAAACATTTCCAGACTGTGAAAAGATATTGAGATTTTTTTTAAATTTTGATCTTCCATTTTGACATGTTCAAGAGAACTGAACAAGTTCACTAACGCTATAATTGAAGGTGGTTCTTCTGATTAAAACAATTCAATTATCTGAGGTAAACTGATAAGTCCAGTTGAAAAAATCTGCATTTTCGTGGTCCAGCCTTAATTGCTTTTACGGAAAACGTAATGTCCCATGAAAACATATATTCTTAGAAAGGATTCATACTTATTTTCACAAAAATTACCTGCACTGTCATCCGCGTTACAGCCAGAGAACCGCCATTGCTTTGTGTCTACCGAGTCCTCTTGGGCGCTCCTAGTGAACACTACCGACCTTTGAGTGGACCATTTTAGTACAACAAGATCTTGTGAATATGAGTCTGTCAAAAAGTGGAAACCTAAACTGAATCTTAATTCAAACTCAAAACAAGAAAAATAATCAAAATAAAATAAAATACAGGAATTTCCTTTAAAAGGAAATACGACAAGGCAGACCTCAGCTGCTTTAACGTTTGGTTGAATTGACCAGTGGAAAGTGAAAAATTCAATTGTTGTCACTGAAAAACATAAAGAAATTTCAAAGCAAAATTGACACTAAGAATATTAATCTAACCTGTTTGAAAAATCTACAGCAAGAAGAAATAAAGAGGACTTCCCAACTTTGTTAACCGCTGGCTAACTTTAACCAAACTTTAAGTATCAGAACAAATGTCACAGTGGAATAAGAGTTAGCTTGCTTCATTGACAACATTTGCAAAATAAATTAAATGCAATCAACAATTGATAATAGTGTTACTAATATACATACGTATTCTGTACTTGATACTGCATATGAATTCACCCAATGGAAAACGTACAGCCTGCAGATTGCATGTAAGACCAACAGTTAATCTGGAATTATGGAAGCAGCAAATATTTTATATTTAGCACCAATCATTCCAAAATCAATAGTTTCAAATTAACATAGACAAAGTTGATTAAATCTAATTATACAAATGTTTCATTCTTTTGGGTCTCGTCTGTGGTTCAGTGGGCTTCAAGTGTCTAAACATTGGAGGTGATTTAGGACAATCCAAATTGCTTGAAATACATATTCAAATATGGATTGAAAGGTGAACTTACCTCATGTTTTATCTATAAGTTTCATGGAAGGAGGAAGCAGTACAGGATGCAGTTTTGTTAAACAATTGACATTTATGATGTATTTTAACAAATCTATTTTTTGTTCAAATATTACGAAATCTGTATTGAATTGAGGTGTATACATATATGTGCTGTGCTGAAGTAGTTATCTTTAACACGGAGCAACATCCGTTTTTGTCTTTTTTCTCTTTATTAACAAGTAACCGTTTGACATGTTAAACACGTTTAGCTTGAAAAGGAATCAACCTTGGGTAAAAAACATCATATCTAACTCAATGAAATTTTCGGTAAATAACAAATTTACTTATTTATGAAATTAATATTTGTGTTGTAAATAGAAAATCGACTTGTCAATACCAAACTTTATTTGCTTTATGTTCTCCTTTGAAGTTTTTAAAGAAATTAAAAGCACGTATTCTCTTCAAAAAGCTCCGTTTATGTTTTATGCACATACCTTATGCTATAAACAATTGTCCCGTTCGGGAAAATCCAGACAAATCGATTAGGCAGTACCGAATCGTGGACGCGCGAATGTAACTCATTTTCCACGTAACTCTCCACCAACCAAATATTGTCAAAATAAACCTGTCTGACCACGTGGTAGGCATGTGAATCATTAGATATATCAGGATATGCTAGTCTCTCGTCTGTCCATATTTGATATGTATAAAATGTGAAATCCGCCTTTTTCTGAAATAAATCCATATATATTATTTGTCCTTTGTAATACGCATAAAAAATCGATTTTTTTTTCGATATATTTCATTATTCAATCTTCTTTCCCTAAATGCATACTTCCGTAATTTCATCCATCGTCTTTATTAGATTTAGTCGATTAACACAATGCATCATATACAGTAACGCAGTTCACCTGAAGGTTCTAGATTTAAATTATCTCTCGTAATTATACCCGAGTTTGATGTGCGCCGTGTTGATATTTTCTTATTATATTTGTACAATTCGATCCTATTACTTTCATCACGTGATTAGACAATTTACCATCATGGTCATATCCCAGAATTTTCAGTTTTCTTTCAGAACATTTTCCAAATGATCATAATGGAGACGTCGTGGTGATTTAATGGTAAGGCAGTTTTGGAATTTCTTGACTAGGAAATTTGGTGCCGTAGACCGTGAGTTCGAGGCCAGGCCAGGATAGAGCACGAATCGAAAATTGTGTTCCTTTATCAATTGTGTTACGATGGCCAAATATATATATATTGTTGAAACTTATATACTTTGAAATCAATAAAATTCGCGAGGTTTCTTTTGATGTTCGTTCATTTTGTGGGTATTGTCAATCCACATATTTATATCTTCACTGTTGAACTTGGTACAATAAGATTTATTGTGCTATTGTTATCTACGAAATAATGTTGCCACGAAAAAAGTTTTTGTAAGACCACAAAAATGTATGATTTTATGGTGCAGTAATTTACATACATTTTAACGGTGGTATATGTAGTGCTTTACGATTGTTGTATATAAATAAGAGTGGGCCATTTTGCAATTTTCTTCCATACCTCATCTGTAAACTGTACATTTGTCATTATTATGTGCATCTGGACTTCTGTCAAATTTCCTGAAAGAAAAAAGAAGAAACGTTTTGTATGAAAATGATCATTTGAAGTTTTTTCGTGAATTACCTAAGCTCATGAAACAATCAATGACGTCATTGTTCGTCAACAGGCATGCTTGTTACATTGCAATCAGGATCAATTCAATTTACATACATTGGGTTTTGGAATAACTTTCTTAATTTTACAATTTATTCCTTATTGAGTAAAAGAAATAATGACAGAATGGTCTATATTAAACATTACGAACATGTCAAGAGAACATAAACACCAACACGAAACAGTTGAGAAGAGTGAAATACCATGAACACGAGAAACCATGATCGATTGTGATCATTAATGTTATGTGCCTTGTCGTCTTCGGTATTTACCTGTATGATAAAAAGGAGGCGTTGACATATCACGCGACAGTCTAGCATCTATGTCTTTTCTCCTGATTGAAAATGAAAATAGGAAACGTGCATATATATATCATTTCTTTATCCTTCTTTAAAATATATATTCATCTAAGGCTGGTATATGCGTATAAGAAATCAGCACTTCATTCCACATGAAGTAACTTTATAGAATATATAACAGCATTTACACTTTTCAGAAGTTATTTCGAATAGAAAAGATAATTATCATAAATCGATTATGCTACTTATTCTGTTTTTAAAAACAACAACTGCATTAGGTCATATAGGTCATTTATTATATGATATTCTTTGAGCGAAATTTATTTTCTACCAGCATCTATACACTTTATTATATTACCCTATCTTGGTCTGCCACTAATTTGGAGCTAAGGATGAACAGTGTTTGGAGAGTTGCGTAGCAAAAATATATAGCTGGTCAACTCTCAATGAACTAATATTACTGACATTATTTTTCTTTCTTATTGTTTTTTCTTTTTTTTTACATCCTACTAACAGTCAGAGTCAGTAAAGTTTAGTTGGTGGAGGAAAGCGGAAGTTCCTGGAGAAAAACCACCGACCTGTGGCCAGTATTTGGCGGTTGCCCCACGTAGGTCTTAAACCCGCGTACCTGAGGTGGGGACTAATGATACAGACGATCAGAGGCCTTAACCTATTGGACACTGCTTGTTATAAGAGCTTTCTTTTCTCATAAAGGGCTCACGGCGTTATAGATAGATTGTTGTAAATTATACTGAAGCATATATCATAGAAAAAAACTTCAGAATCAAAGAAGAAATATAAGGAGTACGACTCATTTTCCATTGTCACAATTTTCCTTAATAACCTTCCTCTCGGGTTGAGATTCCGCTAAATTACCCCCAAATAGGCGAAATGTTCTTCTTATGTTAGACATGTCCATTGAAAGTACTTTGTATGATATTTGATATCAACCAAACATCAATATTCAAATCAACACATATGGGTGATTACACTTACACTCAATCTTAAATTATAATAAATATTCTACATTGGTAACTTACTGTTGTGGGGAAAGGATGCACAGCCCAAACTCAGTAGCAAGGAACATGACTAATGCAGCTATACAAGTTCCTGTACAAGTGAGTGTCATATTGACTGTAAAACATGAAAAAAACAAATCATGTGTTTACATGACACACATAGCATATCATTACATATTTCAAATTACAAATAAATCATGTGTTGTTCTTTGGTAAACTTTTGGCCACATGTATCGTAATAATAGACCATTATAGAATATATTTTCATGTTGTTTTTACTTGTCTTCATTGAAATAATTTCATATACAAAAAAGGTTAACTTATAACTTACCGTCCCCTGCATGTACGAGTTATTTACGTGTCTGAGGATATGGTCTCCGGTCTACTGACTGACCATTGGCCACTACCACACCGTACATTTGTTTGTTCAACAATAACAAAGGACTTTGAGCTGTCGACTCAGTGAAGCTCCACCTGATTTTACCTTTGAACTCTGTATTCTGTATGCAAACTTTCAGAGCTATTGTCAAGTATTTTTCATAACAATGGCCATGACCCTGAGAGCGATGACCGGGACTTCATGGCTTTAAAGAGGCTTCTGACGTCAATAAAATCCTGTTTTATCAATATTTATCGCATTTTGATTTCTTATTAACATTTTGAAAAATAACACAAAGTAGATCATGCAGATATAGAATTAGCTGATTTTCAACCAATTTATCACAATTACAATATTTAGAATTTTAAAAAATGCATTTAGTGGCATATCAAGTCATTATTAAGATTTCTATTTCTCACAGCGACATTTGTTCACGTACTCAATGTATTTGTTTATCACACAACTGTCGTGTTATTCTGTAAATATAGCAATGTATAACATTTGCGCATGAGCCTATATTATAAAAATCATTATGACGCCATTAGATCATGAAATGTTATCACACGCACGCACGCACACGCACGCACGCACGCACGCACGCACGCACACACACACACACACACACACACACACACACACACACACACACACACACACACACAAATAGTCTTGTCTTCTATACTGTAGAAGCCATTGTATGGATTCTGTTGTAAAATAATTCACAGTTCTATTCAATTACTTCTGGACAACATTCGGCGGTCCTCCTGCCAGGTGAGATTAGCAACAACCAATAAAGAGACATTGCTCAGCTTAATCGTGATTATTTACAATGCGATAAACAATCATTTGAAACTACAGTTTTCCAATTCTAAATTGGATCACGATGATATAACAATTGAACTACTCTTTTCAATACAAATAGTGGGGCAGCTCGATACTGACCTTATACACATCGTTATAGCAGCGACAGAATCGTACCGGAAGCGATAGATGGCGCCATTTAGACAGCATAGTCAAAGAGAACAGCAACAAGCAGATGATAAAAAAATATGTTTTATTTACTTTTAGCAAACATACAAATCATGCAACATTACATCAAGATATTTCAATAGTCTTTTCATATTTTTCTTTTATATTTAAACTAAGAAAACCTTGCGCACTTTCAACCGGATCCATGCATAAGAAGACCGTATGCTCTAGCACGAGCACCATTGCAATACGGTAACAGGTACTGGGGATGATGATGCTTTTACAATTTAGGTCTGGATGCAGAAATTTGGATACTTCATGATTACCGCAGAGTTCTGTCAAGGCTAAACCTTCAGCATATATCAGGATAAATTTCCTTGCCAAGCGCTTTCAAAATGAAGTGACTGGTTTTAATAAAAAACACACTTTAAGCTTGTGTATATATATATCTAAGTATGAAAAATTATCACTTCTCTTACCTGCACTGTCATGCGCGGCACAGACAGTGAATCGCCACTGCTTTGTGTCGACTGAAATCTCCTGAGCACTCCTGGTGAACACCACTGGCCTTTCAGAACACCATTTCAGCACAACAAGATCTTGTGAATAGGAATCTATCAAATACCGACAAATACTAAATATGTTCAGATTTTCTCTGCGTCTGATTGGATAAGAGATCGCCTCTTCCAGTTAGATATATAAGATATGGACTTCCTTATCCTAAATGTAGAAGAGCTGGGCCATATTGGCATCAATCTATTGTAATTTGTTTTAGAGGATAATTTGTGATAATGTGAATTCATTAGTTATCGTTATTAGTGGTTACTCTAAATCCACGAATTTAAATATCCTTGTGACGGTAACCAAATAAAAATCGACATGTATGATAGAACTAGTGGATTTATTAAGTCAGATCTATACCCGAAATAAAGTGCCAACGAATATGTTTTGAAGAACAACGAAATTCGAGAGCACCATGAAAATATATTGTAGTATTGTAGATAAAGTAATTAGTAAGCGTCTTCTGCTTCATCAGTGAACTACAACTGTCGAATCTGACCATTAGTGCAACATTAAGCTGGGAAAAATAATGAATCAACGTAACTATTGTATTCAACATCCATTACCAGAATTTAAGATAAATTGTTTGTCTATATCTGCCCGTTCGAGTGACTTTATATATTGATATGAGACAAATTTTCTCTTTTTCTTTCATTTCTACGTCATGCTCTTATCTTTATGACGTCACAGAATAATTACTGTTCGTGTTCTTTGTTATTTTACATCGAATAAGGTAACTGACAAAAGACAGAATTTTGACACGAGTCAACAAGAATTGTAATATCCGATCTACGATATGTCAAGAGCGCGATACCAGGCATCGTTTAATCAAGTCTCTGTTGTTATTGTAAACTCTTACTATCCTGTTTGTACTGTGTTAGTATGACTTACATGTAAATGAGTAATCCAGAGTTCTATAAACTACAAGAGAACCATTGGATAGTGTTGATCTGAGGTGTGAAAAAACAACGTAAAATTTGAAATTGCAAATTTTGCATAAAAAGTATAAAATGAGTTAAAATATGCCATTAAGTAATGAAACCTTTTTACAGACGGACAGTGCTCCGTTTTAATCAGAACTCTTTGATCAACTAATTGCTAATGGCTTATATCTCTCAATATATTTGTTTGCTAAACAAAGGCGAAAAATGTTAAGTTGTGGACGAAATAGATTCCAGCAAAATTTGCACTTGACCATTATGTACTGAAAACGCATCGTAAGACACACTAATACCGGCACTACGGTGAATAACAAGGTCCGTGGTCACGAGGACAGAAGCTAAGACAAGAAACCGTTAATTACTACTGTTTAAATTGGAAACTGTGAAGGCATTTTGATGAAATGATTTTAACGACACTATGATTGTATTTGGTTACTTACACATAAGCAGAATGACAAAATAAAAACTTGTCATAAATACAATTATTTTAAGTAACTGTTCGACAGCGTACTATGAAATAGACAAAAAATGAATATCTTTCGTAACACTGACTACCTCGTACGCATGATTTAGTACATATGTCTCAAACGTTAGACTTGTTATCTCTTACACACAACTAAGTATCTCGAACGTAAAACCTACTATCTCGTACACACCCCTTAGTATCTCGAGGGTTACGCCTTTGTCTATTGCGCATAACTTAGTATCTCGAACATTAGGCCTTCTGTCTCGTACGCAACACTTAGTATCTCGAACATTAGGCCTACTGTCACATACGCAACACTTAGTATCTCGAACGTTAGGCCTACTGTCACGTACGCAACACTTAGTATTTCGAACGATAGCTCTACTATCTCGTAAACACCGCGTTTTATCTCGAACGTTTATCCAAATATCTGGTCCATACCACATGGTATATGAAACGTTAGGGCTACTATCTAGGACATACCACATAGCAGTATATTAATCAATAGACCTACTATCTCGTATACATTACGTATAATCTCGAACGTTAGTGCTACTGTCTCATGCAAATCACTGAGTATCTCGAACGTTAGTCCTACTGTATGTACGCACTCCTTAGTTTATCGAACGTTTATCCTATAATTATTCTCTCGTAAATGCCCCATTTTATCTCTAAGCTTTGTCTATTGTCTCTTCCGCAACATATAGTATCTCGAACGGTAGCCTTACTATATTTCTCACTACATAATATCTCGATCGTGATGCCCACTGTCTCGCACGCATCCCATAGTTTCTCGAACGTTAGGTCTACAGTCTCGTCCGCACTACATGATATCTCAATCGTTAGGCCTACTGTCTCGTATGCAACTCTTAGTATCTCGAACGTTAATCCTATTATCTCGTGCGCACCTCAACGTATTTCGAACGTTAGGTCTACTGTCTCGTACCCACCACTTAGTATCTCGACCGTTAGTCCTATTAAAATTAATCGGTGTTGAAAAATAACAAGGAAGGTTCCAAATCTAATTGAAATTTCTGTCTTATGATTAATGTGGCCTCTGATGGTGATGGCTGCTACTAATGTATTCTGAGGTGTTTCTAGTTAAGGGCAAAGTAAACAGGAAAGTGGGGTCATATTTGCAAACATTAATGGACGATATAGATATGATAATGAGAGTGTAGTATGTGTTTAAACTCATTTGAATTATCGCACGACATGGAACAAGAAATAATTCAACGTTCAATACATATTCACCATAAATATTGCAGGTTTATGTATTTCAGTGACAGATGTTACTAAGCTTGGGACATTGCTAATGACTACATGTAATGTATTTTGATCATGGACAATTATTTGTGTTCAGTTTCATTCAAACAACATTGCCTCGAAAAACAACAAGAAAATATCAACATGTCAACATAATTATAAACCAAACCCCGACACCCCCCTACCCCATATAACGAATTGTATCAGTTCGGCTAGACGCCGGATACGCTGCTAAGTAACGACTTTTCTAAAAACACAAAATTTGTTCGTCCTATTGAACGAATGCTTCATGATACATAGTTATTTCAGTAAAATTTGATATTACGCAAGACGTTTATCAGTTTTCTTAATTTCTATTTGAATCATGTAAAGAAATTGATTTTTCTTACATTGAATGAGTGATTTTACACGAGTTAAACTATTAACCATTTGATCAATATATAAATAATAACACGCGATATAATGTTGTTTCGGTTTTCATTTTGTTTGTTATCTAAGATTTATCCAAAATCGATGTTAAAAGACATGTTTGTATCTGTACGAAAACGTGGACGAATTACGAGAGTACTATGTGTATACACATGAAGACGGTAGCTTTGTACACGTGTCCCGTTTCACCGATATCAGCGTTACAGTTTGTGACCCCGTAATGTTTTAATGTTACTGGTATGCGGACAGCCGAACGATAGATCAGATCGATTGGTTGGAATACTGTTGTGGACCGTTTCTCAAATAAGATTTCAAAAATGTAAGTATACTTCCTACTAACCCACTTGTAATGGAGTAGACACAGCGATCGTATTTACATATCTGTATATATATATACACTGTTGAATTGGTCACTCGTAATCAGCTATTTATAGCCATTCTTTATGATGTTTACAAATACCGGTTATATCGACATTACCATAAAATTGCTATAATTACCGTAGATTTGGCTTTTATATATTGGTATATACCTTAAACTCTTTAGATATATGACAATTTTTTAAATTTAGTGTGAAGTGTATGTGTTTATCGGAAGATTAAAGGAAATGACCTATTTGTACTCTGAGGATAGGTCACTACACTAAGCCAATACACTAATCATGTGGTATTCGACGTACAGCTGACCGCGAGGTGAAAGATAGGATTACCCTTAGAAAGGGGAGATGGAACTAATAAAAAAAAAAACCCTCATACACACAGATATAAATAACCTTTAATGTGTCAACAAAGATTCAGTGTTTAAATACATAATGGATAAACAAAATGTTATCGTTCTCAAGCTGACCCAGTTATGATACAGATCGATGGTCATATATCCGTTTGTGTATAAGTTAAATATCCATGCAGATGTTTTTATCCGATGTATTTACTATATTTATGTTTATGTATAACGTATGCCTTTAGTATTTTAGCATTTTTAGAATTATTTCCATTGCAAGAACATATCCCCATGTTTATCTGACCCAAGCTCACATTCTTAGTTTGATCAGTTAAGCCAAGTATGCGTTTCGTTGACTACATGAATATCTTACTATCCCAGATCCTCGTTTTCGCTATAACGCAGAAAAGTTCTGTAGTTGAGACCTGTATTGAGGTAAAGGTGTACTCTGGTTCCCAGAAATAAAACAACATCACTATTTTACTTAGAAATTGTAGACATGAAAGCTACGTAAATATATGATTCAGCATTAAGTTTGCACCACGCCAAACAGGTGTTCGTGTATTGACAACTGGTTTGATAACTGTTTATCCAATTTGATAACAGCTATTTTTTTATTTGCAGAATTTTCTTATCGTAATGAAATTAAGTCACATTTTTAAACTAGATAAAAGTACTGTATTGGGATTTTTGCGGAACCGGCTGATTATTTTCAGTTATTATTGTTAAAATAATGCTTTACTGATATTAGCAGAGTTGAAGAATTTTTGTAACTGTAGAATTTTGAGGAAAATTGTTGTGTCGTTTCTTGTCGTAGTCAAGCGGTACAAGGATATGAGAAAGACAGCTTTTGTCATCGGCTACACTGGGGAGTGTGGGGGAAGACATTTTTCCACCCTATTGTCTGTTCTATAGTAACGTTATTTATTATCAGCCATTGTGGCGGTTTTTTTTGTTAACCCCACATTGGCTTTTTATTATAATTACTTAAAAAATCATCTTTTGTTCATTTTATGGTTTATGTAACTGTAAGATATGTTTTTAATTTCATAAATAAATACAAAGTCACCCTCTCTGTAAGGGTGGTCTTTTTCATTCATACTCATTGTTGTGTCGTTTCTTGTCGTAGTGTGCAGATACATAAAATAATGCTTTACTGATATTAGCAGAGTAGAAGAATGACTGAGAATTTTGAGGAAAAAGTCAAGCGGTACAAGGATATGGGAAAGACGGCTTTTGTCATCGGCTACACTGGGGAGTGTGGGAAGGAGCTCGTCAAAGCCTTGTCAAAGAATAAGATATTCAGCAAAGTGGTCCTCGTCGGTCGCAGAAAAGTGGACCTCAGTCCTGATCCTGGACCAGAGTTTGTATGTTTTTTTAAACTGTTCGTTTTTATATCATTGAATTAATTTCTTAAAATCACTCTCCTTTTCCTGAAATTCGAATAAATAATCTAATTTTAATATTGGTGTGTAATTCATTTCTATAACATGTTGACAGACTTGTTTACATTTAAACAGCACGCAGGAAATTATGACGTCATATACCTAAACTGCATCGTACACACTTTATACGTCGTGATTGACCTTAAGTACCAAAACTTCCTATGTTACTCATTTCTTTAATAAGCTATATCGATATTTACCATAGTCACTGATCATTATATTTATATATGATAACTGTGGGGCTCGACTACCGTGGTTCCTTTATGTCATTTCGTGGACATGTGATTTCTTGGATGCAATACAGTTCTATAAATTTATTTATACCAATTTCAACAGTTCTTGAATATGTGTGAATGCGTGGATTAAAAGTACCAAGGAAATCAACGAAAAACACACGAAAGTTAATGAATTTACTGTACAACACAGTTATCGGAATAAGAATCGGGTCCTATCCCTTGTTATTACCCATTGGATCCAACAGAAATAAAATAAATACTTTATAATCTTTCTCAGCAAGAACTAGATAAGCATGGCTAAATAAATATATAAGTATTTTGAATATATAAGTATATGTCCCTTTGTTGAATCGTTAAAAGGGCAAGACAAACGCACAAATACATCGTTTACGAAAAGTCAAAATATTATTTCATAATAATCATAAAATCAAATAATTAAATTATATGAATTACGAAATTAATTTTTCATATTCTTATTCTGGTAGATTTTTTTCTGATATTCTAACTGTTCGGAGGGAGAGTGATGGGAAAGGTTTGTGATTTTAGATATTTATATTTCGCTATCATTTTGATGCTTGTAACGAATAACAATTTAATGTTTACCAACAGGAACAAAGAATTGTTGATTATGATAAGCTGGAGGACCACACAGAAGCTTTCCAAGGAGCCCATGTAGGCTACTGTTGTTTGGGTACAACAAAAGGAAAAGCAGGAAAGGTAATGCCGTAGTGCTAAGAAAGTGGAATTCATGTGTCCATGAACGACATCTGTTTATATGTTTTTCATAAAAATGCGGTCATTGTGAGCGAATATGGAATCGTATTTATGTTTATCACATAGGGAACCTGCAGTAATATGATTCTTTTACTGATAGCGTATTACACTTGTAATAATACTATTGTTATGTCACCTGTATATGACGTCACACGATTGTTTCGATGTTGACAAACATATAAAATGTGTTTAAACTGAAGTTTACGCTGGTCGTTGGTCAGGATTTAGAAACACCTTTTGTAAAATACGCAAAAATAAATATATCAGAAATGTGTTTATCTGATATTTGACAGACATGAAAAAATAAATCTATGATGATAAATTGGAACTAAGCGAATAATCTCTTTATTCGTCAATTTTGACAAAAAATAAATAATAAAAAAAAAACCATGCAATTGAGTCACTGTCAATAGCAAAAAGCAAAAGGAAAGAATGAATGGGAAGCGAAAAACTACGGGTTAACAGATATCATTGACGTGAGCTTCAGATTATGTTCAATAATTGAATATTATTGGCCGATGTCAAATTGTACATATCCATTGAAGTTAGCTCTATTCCTAGTTTAGGGGTTCCATGCAGGATGTTGGTACTTCAGAGAGATTAAGTTAACATCATTTTCACTGGGAAATCGTTTTACCCTTTTCAGAGCCTGCCCTTTTTTTCCCTCGCGAAGCCATAAGTGACCACTACAGACATTTCTGCATATCAAATATTGTACAAAATTGAGCTTAGATTATGATGATGTTGATATGTATTTTCATTTTCCATTCTGTTTACCTTTGTTATAAGTGACCATTACATGATAGCCACTGGGCACTAACAGCTCTACCGTTGTATCACGAGGTTAAAATCTATACTTATTTTGAACTGTTTTTTTTTTTTTTTTTTTTAAATATTTCGGTATTTTCTTTATTTTTATCATTGACAACAACACGGAAGTCTTCGCCAAAATATTTTGCTAACTTTAAATGTTTGTTTTACTTTTTACAGGAAGGTTTTATAAAGGTAGATAGGGATTACGTAATTAAAAGTGCAGAAATAGCAAAGTCAAATGGCTGTCAACATTTTAGCGTGATAACAGCTTCAACCGCAAATAAGAACAGTATGTTTCTCTACGTAAAGACCAAGGTTTGTAAATAAATAAAAGTATACAAAAGACACACATGCTAAAGACCTAAATTTTGAAGCATAGCAGGCGACTGAGGAAAACTGAAAGTGTAGGACAGAAAAGTCAAATATAGACATACAATGAATTTTCCATGTAATATATTCATGTATTTTTTCCTTTTTAAATGAAAAAAAAAATCCTCAGAAATTAAAATAGATACAGAAATTGTCCACTTCTAATAACTGTTTTTCGTATCTGAAGATCATATATCTAATGTCATACATTGTGCATTAATTAGGTATTATTTTGCTCTGTGTTACAGGGAGAAGTAGAAGATGCACTGAAAAATATGGCGTTTGACAAATTAACTATCTTTAAACCAGCGTAAGTATTAATCGCATTCGAACAAATACATATTTGATGTCTTCTGTTTGTTTGTATGTATGTACGTTTATGTTTAGAGAATACGACTAGCTTATCCCGAAATGCTTTCGACAAGGTTTGGATTCGGCGCATTTCACATTTGATATCACGGAATTATCATTAAAAAATCGTTTGATTTCCACAAATTCCGTATACTTCGTTAAGGTTTGAACACTCTCCCTATTTGCAATGCTTTCATTACTTTTCTGCTCTCTTAGTATTTTTAGTTCGCTTTTGACCATGCCATGGTCTGCCCTAAGATTTTACATGGTATTTTCCTTTTTTAAATTTTAACAATATTATGAGACAAGGACACGACCACACCTGGTTACGACTTTTTAATATACTTGTCCACCTTCTACTCGGTAACCCTGTAATTTTATGATTTGTCCACTGTGACGTGGACATTTCCCTGGAAATTTAACCCTGTGTCAAATTTCCTCGTGAAATAAAGCCACTTATCCAACCCTCCCCAGCTTTCTTAAGTACAAATGTATTTCATTCTATATATTCAGAGTCCTGTTATGTGATCGTGCAGAAACACGCATAGGAGAACGAATTGCAACGACTATTATGAAACCCTGGACAATGATGTTTCCCACCACTGGGTCAGTACCTACAGCGTATGTGGGTAGAGCGATGGTTATAGACACAGTGACACCGGGTGATGAAAAACTCAGGATCTACAACAATGGCGAGATACATGGATTGGTCAAACAAGACGGAAAGAAATGACGAGGCCTTGAAAAGCAAAAAGTGCATATCTATTCTCAAAATCATTGGCTGATTTTCGCTATCCTCTGTCGATGTTTGGGAAAATTATAAATTTTTGCACAGCAGGGAAATTCGGAATCTCGACATCGTCATTAGTATCGCTTCCATATTTTACACTTAATTTGCTTATTGTGAAGTAGCAGTTACTATTGATGCTGATTTCGGGGTTTCACCCGATCTAAATATATTTATCAAACAACCATGAGCTGATGAAAAGTTTAATATTTTCTAATAAGAATAAAAATAAATCGGGTTTTAGAGCCTTCCGAAGGTATGAAGTTTTAAACATAACGTTAGATATACATTGTATATGAATTATATAGACGTACGACGTATTGTGATAGAACTGGACCTTTCTGTGAATGGTTCAGTTGAACACATTTCCATTCGTTAAGCACATGAACTAGTTATTTTTATCAAATACATCCATTTTTCAAAGAACAAAACACACTGTATAAGTCAAAAATGTGTGCTTATGCACGACAACCATGTCAAGGATTTGAAATCGATGTAATGAGAAAAACATTTATATGAATTATGTTGGTCAAGATATTTTTAATCCAATAATCGGGTCGGCTGTTCTCATTACATGCTGTGATAAGTGTATTGTGGGTAATGAAGTTCGAACGACACTTCCTGGTAAGGCAGATTATATGTGCAGCATGAGAGCTTTTATTTACCATGAGACACTCGCTGAGTTAGCCTTTAAAGCATAAGATATAATATTTGATTCAGCAATTTTGTTGTTTTTGCTGCTGCTTTCGGGCATGCAATATTGCAGTTCTAGTCTTAATATACTTAGATCTGCAATGTGATCTACCTTATATTTACAAACACATAGAACTATATGAAACATTTTTCATTTTTGTCTCAAGACATCTATATATGTTTTTCATTAAAATGATTAACTCTTTTCAGTTCCCAAATGACAGATTGGATTACTGATAAGCCTTGGTCGTTTGCATTAGTCATTGTTATCAGTGGTGTAGTACCTATCGCAACACCGGGTCTTTTTTGTTTTTATACTTTCCTAAGTGTCTTCTTGCATATTCTTTTATATTTTGCCTTCGTCAAATAAATTTTGTTTTCCGGTTCTGTTGACATGTCTATATTTCCATTTCCCCCTCTTTTTATTGTTTTTGTTATTAATGCTTTTGTTTAAATTAAATACCTTTGGTTGTCAGAACACATCAACTACTAGACTTTTGAGTGCTAAAACCAGCAGTGTAATAAAGAATTATGGATAAATTGATCCACGCCGTATGTGTATTTGGTGACATCTTGATAGTAATTAACTTTTCTATCGTTTTTATTATGACGCTGTATACCGGTGTACATAGTACAAGGTTATTTTCGCTCTTGTACCATTAATCACGAATTTACCTCATGTTTATTCCGCCCTGTGCGAAATATATAAAAAGATTATATGAGTAAAACAAATTTTCGACCCCATCTTAAAATCGATCTTCTTGTTCATGGCAGAAAGGTGCAAAATTAAACATAAACGAACATTTCCCTGTATGCATTATTCAATTAATATTGATAGTCTAGATATGTAGACATGTATTTTTAGTAAGTTATTATTTCATAATGCTAATGATCAATGGAATATCATACTTCGTATTGTCTTTACAGCTCACATATTAAATAAATAATGTTTTTAATAAAATTCGGACGCAATCTTGTCTTTTCCTATCATGGATGATTTTTCATGAAACTAGACACACAGACGCTGAGGAATAAATTTAATAGGCCGTCAGCAGCAGAAAGATATTTTAAGTAATGAATGAAAATCCATGTACAGTAAGTAATAATAAAAAGGGCCGTTTAAATCGATTAAATCTTTGAATACAATTCCTAATGTGAGCAAATTGTCTTATCGGCATTCGAAAGTTTCAAATTCTCCTTGTTATTCGCTGTGACCGTTTGCTCAAAAGGTTAACAAAAGCTACTTTGTTTTCAAGTATATTTTACGGATTAATTTTGTCAATCGTCTATTTCGTATTTATATTCGTAAACACAATGTCACTGTTAATAAAGAATACAGGGAGTTTGATGTAAATAAACAATTTAATTATGACGAAATTAGTGTTAAATGAAAGCATGTGACTGTCTTGTCATGGGATTTATAGTCGTTATAAATGCCATTTAAAATAAATCCAGCTGCTGAGAAGCACTTTCTGAGGGAAAAATACTGATTTTGTAAAACAAAAGTCGGGTCAATGCAGCAAAAGGTATATCCGATTTATATTACAATTCCTGATGCGCTAAGTTTAGCCCACCCAAATGTACAACCTCATAACATGTTTCATAATATATACATATCTATGTATATTAAGTTTTATTATTTTTGCTATTTTATGAACCATTTTCGCTCATATAGATAATTTTATTGGTAGATAGCCAAATAGACTTCTACAAGGGGACACCGCCTTACATTAAGCATGACTATTCATTGAGTGATAAACTTAACAAACAAAAATTGCCTAAAATAATCCATCTCTTATCCATAATAAATAATCATATTGATATCAATTTAGTCTATAACTACTTGTAGCCGGAGTAGTCGTGCAGGCGTTGTTTTTACTATTATTAGCACTCTTTACGGAATGCCTATACATAGGGCTCCGGGTAGTGTACTAGCCTTCCTGATAAGACGGTGAAGTATTTATGCTACCTAACGATTTTACATAAAGTGACGAACAGGTTGGTCAACGAGTAGCATATGTTGTTCAGATAGCTTTAAGTGGAATCTAATCATAAACCGATCATGTAAGTATATATCATATTCTGTACAATTTTACAACACAGTATGCTAATACGATTATTCATTTAAGCATACTTGCTAACGACGCAGGAAATACTGGTAATTTGGCTATTCATGACAACTCAGCATAGATTTACTAATCCGCCATATTTGTGTTACTTAAGATCCTGGTAGTTTAATTATATAGCTGTAGTACTGTAGTACACAACATATTAAAATTTTCAGTAGCGTGATCGTGTGCTCATTCATGAAGATTAAACACATATTCGATTACATATGTATGTGTA